GCGTGGCTGCCGCCCGTCGCGGGCCGAGGCGGCGCGCGCCGGGCGGGGGCCGAAACGTCGGGATCTACTAGGCGCTCCGCTTCGTCGCGGCGAAGAAGTCGAGGGCCAACGACGCCCAGGCCTCCGGGTACTCCTTGTGCAGGGGCCACGTGTGGCCCCACTGGCCGACGCACATGACGATGTCGCTCTCGCACTTCCCAAAGGGCCGGACGCACTGGAGCTCGCGCGCGCCGTCGTACTTCGTGGGGTACTTGGCCGTCCGTCCGTCGCAGTTCCGGGAGAACTTGCGCAGGATGTCGGGCTCCTCGACGTAGAAGAAGTGGTCCGAGCTCTCCGCGACGCCCCGGGGCTTCGGGCCCGGCTCGCCGTTGGACGCGTTCGCCGGGATCGTCCAGTCCGCGTAGCCGTGCGACGACAGGACGGCGACGGGCGACGCGGGCGCAACGTTGAAGCCGACGAAGCGCGAGCCGGCGACGGGCGCGACGGACGCGATCTGCGCGTGGTTGTCCAGCGCGGCCTGGTAGGCCATCATGCCGCCGGCGGAGATGCCCGCGAGGTGCACGGCGCCGAGGTCGACGCAGAGCTCGCCCTTGAGCTTCGCCAGGAGCGCCGTGACGAACGCCGAGTCGGCCATGCAGCTCGCGCTGTTGCAGCCCCGGCGCTCCGGAGCCGTGGGCGGTCGACGCCGCGCCGACGCCGCGCCGACGCCGCGCCGCGTCCGCCGCGACGGCGGCGCCGAGCGCCGTCGATCCGTCCAAGAATCGCGGAAATCCGTCGCGATCGCGGCGAGCGGCGGCCGGTTTCGCGGGACCGCGGGACCGCGCGCGCCCGCGCCGGAACGTTCCCGCGCCTCCCGCGCCGCCACGCGCCCCGGTCGGGCCGTCGCGAAGCCCCGGTGCGTCCGCCGGCGCCGCGGGCCGCGTGCCGATGGCAAAGCGCCGGCGTCGCGGCCCGGAGCGACGCCTCGGCCGCCGAGCCCGGAATCCCCGAGCGACGCGCGGACGTCGCTACGAGTAGTACGCTGTATTTCGAAGGCGTGGGTAGCGAGGGGGAGGGTCGTGGTCGGGGGGAGGCGCGGGCCCGGGACGAGTCGAGCCGCGTCGGCGGGCGGGAGGGGGCGCGCGGCGCCGCGAACTCGGCCCCGATCCCCGGCGAGGAAGCGGGGCGAGCGGTCCGCGACGAACTTCTACCAGACGGTCTGGCAGGTCGGCAGGTACCAGAACGGGTGGTCGTCGTTGCCGATGGCCTCCTCGGGCACGGGCTTGGTGAAGAGGTTGTTGCGGAACATGAACTTGCGGTGGCGGAAGATGCGCTGGCGGCGCTCCTCCGAGTAGAGGTCGGGCTCGGCCGCCGCGGGCGCCGGGGGCGGCACCACGGGCGCGGGCGGCGGCTG